AAGTGTTACCTAAATGGGTTTGTTTCTTCATGGAAGCAGATTTGCTCAGCAATGGATGCTCTGCAGTGAATGGGTGCCGTCAGAATGAGAGTCCAAACAGCTGATAAAAATAATCACAATAATCCACAAGTAATCCACAGCACTCCAGTCCATCAGTTAAAGCTGCATGTTTGTTAAAAATGAGTTAATTACTTTCTCCACTAAAAAAGATTGTTTGAATCAGGAGAGAAATATGCAGATATCAAGCACCGTTCACCGTTTGTAGTGAAAACAGTCCAAAGCAGTTCTAAACAAATTTGTCTGTGGATTAGTCTCATTTTGATGTGAGAGGGCAACAGAAGATGGACTTTTTCTACTGGAGGAAGTGTTATTACGGATAGAGGATTTGTATTTTAGCCAGAAGAAACGGTTTGAAGCTAAAAACGCTCGCCTTTATCAGCTGTTTGGACTCTCATTCTGACGGCACCCATTCACTGTAGAGGATCCATTGGGGAGCAAGTGATGTAATTTCTCCAAATCTGATGAAGAAATAAACTCATCTACATCTTGGATGGCCTGAGGGTGAGTAATTTTCATTTCTGGCTGAACTATTACTTTAAAATCTCTTGCAACTTTGAAAGGCGAGAAAACAACAGCAAGCTGGTCCCGCTGCTCTCTGACCACGGCTCTCACACATGGACGTTATGGAGTTTGAGTGTGGTGGGAGGAGGTAGACATGATCCTATCAGAAGGAAGCACAGCCTCTTTCTCCATCTCTCTCTCTCATGCATACGGCACTCAAGTGCTTCCTGACAGCGGCGCCACCTGCTGTAACCCGACGGAGCCCGTGAATCCAGACCGGCTCGTGGTCAGGTCTGTGTCATTTCCAGCTCACTCATACAAATCCAAGCCTGTTTCCAAAATACATTCCTTCCCAGTGCTGCTGAACATGGAGGGAGCAGGAGAGAGAGAGGGAAAGCAGAGGTTTCGAGTTTTGTTTTTGCACGTTGAGGCCTTGGAATCTGAACTGGCTAACCTTTCCCAGCAGCTGCTGCTGTTTGAACAATCTGCTCTGATCTGAGCGTCACACAGTCCAGAGAAAACACTCATTTGGCCACAAGGGGGCCGACGGGACGCTCGGTCCTCCTTTCTGTCTCTCATACAAATGCGTTTGGTGTCAGTTAACGGACTATTTTTTCTGTCATTTCATTCTGTTGGTTCATTCTGTCATTCTATTGTTCTTTGTGTCTTTCTATCTGTTTCTTTCTATCGTTCTAAATTCCCTATCACTTTTTTTATAGTTCTGTAGTTTTTTCCTCATCATTCCACCATTATCTATTGTTCTTTCTGTCATTCTATCTGTTTGTCGTTTTATCTATCATACTTTCTATCATTCTATATTATTTTAATATGTCATTCTGTCAGCTTTCAAACATTCCATCTGTCATTCTTTGTCTTTTTTTTGTCTTTTATCTATTTTTCATTCATTTTGTCATTTTATCTGTTGTTCTTTCTATAATTTTCTATATTTCTGGCTTCTTATTCTTTATTTATTCTACCATTATCTACCATTGTTTTTAACCATTCTATCTGTCCATCATTTCATCGTTGTATTGTTTTTCGATATTTTTCTGTTTATTGCTCTGTCTTTCTGTCATTTTTCTATAATTTTGTCTCATTCATTCTTTATTTTTTGTTTTCTTTATCATTTTGTTCTGTCATTATTTCTATTGCTCTATCATTTCATCATTATTTTGTTTCATTCTGTCTATTGTTCTTTAAATCTGTCTGTCTTCTTAATTCTGTCATAGTTCTTTTGTTTTGCTCTTATTCTACCGTTATCTAATATTCTTTCTTTCATTCTATCTCATCCGTCATTTGTCATTTCTATCATTTGATTATTTTTCTATATTTTTCTCTGTCTTCCCATGTGTCATTCTTTCTATCATTCTATGTTTTTTATATATTTCTGTCATTATTTTAATTCTTTCCTCCTATCTGTCATTCTGTCTATTATTCTATTGTTCTGTCAACCATTCTGTCATTTTTTTGCTTAAATCTGTCTGTTGTTCTGTCATTCTATTTGTCATTCTTTCTGTCTATCCATCATTCTATCATTCTCATTTCACTTTTTGGAACCTCTGACCCTTTCTGAAAGCACAAGGTCATTTGTTATTTATTCAGTTCAAACACAGACTGTGTAATCTGTCTTTCTCTCTCTCTCTCTCTCTCTCTCTCTCTCTCTCTCTAGGGTCTGGAGGGGAACGTATACGACCATGTGAAGGATTATCTGATATCCTTTTGTCGGACCGAGCTGGAAGCGTTTCAAGCTGTTCACAGCACCTTCCAGTTCCTGCTGGAGAAGTCCAGTCGAGTGAGTCTCTCTCTTCTTTCTTAGTCTCATCACTCTCTCAATTTCCCTCTTCATTCCCAGAAATAGATTCCCTCTGCCAGCGCCTCATTATCGGCTCCCCTATGAAGAAATCCCCTCACACACACACATCATTCCTCCGCTGCGCTGACAAACACATCTGTCTGAGCACTATTTCACTGCCCAAGGGGGCCTAATTTTACATACCACTATTGTGACGCGCGTGTGTGTAAGAGAGAGAGAGAGAGTTATGCAAGGATCTTTCCTGCACTAGCTCTTAAAGGGATAGTTCACACAGAAATGATCATTCTGTCATCATTTACTCACCTTCCAACCTACTCAACTTCCAAACCTGCATGGTGTTCTTTCTTCTGCAGAACACAAAAGATATTTTGAAGAACACTGAAATTCAATTGAAATTGTGTGCACAAAAAAGCACTGAGATGGATTATGTTCCAAGAAGAAAGAAAGAAAGTCCGTTTTTGGGTGAACTCTCCCTTTGAAGGAACTTTTTTACATGTCATATAAACTTGCGTTATCTTGATATGTTTGTCAATTAGTTGTGTTGTCATGTCCAGGTGATGCAGGACTTCAACCAGCAGCTGTTCCTGCAGGAGAACCCAGTGTTTCACAAAGCACAAGACTTCCAGTTCCAGCCCAGCGACAGCGATATGGTGAGTTTCACGCATGCTTGTTTATAAACTGCACTGCAATCAAGGAATCATGTACTAATGTTCAAAAGTTTGGGGGCAGTAAGATTTTTTTTATTTTTTTATTTTTCAGCAGGGTTGCGATATATATATATATCTCAAAAGTGACTGTAAAGACATTTATAATATTACAGTTCCAACTTTGTTCATCAAAGAATCCTTAAAAATAAAATGTATCACAACTTCCACAAAAATATGAAGCAGCACAACTGTTTTCAACATTGATAATAATCAGAAATGTTTCTTGAGCAGCAAATCAGCATATGAGAATGATTTCTGAAGATCATGTGACACTGAAGACTGGAGTAATGATGCTGAAAATTCAGCTTTGATCACAGGAATAGATTACAGTTGAAAACAGATATTTTAAATTGTAATAATATTTCACAATATTACTGTTTTTACTGTATTTTGATCAAATAAATGCAGTCTTGGTGAGCAAAAGACACTTCTTTCAGAAACATTAGAAAAATCTTACCAACCCTGAACTTTTGAACAGTAGTGTACGTTTACAGAAAAATGTGTTTTATTCGTATAATCACTTTAGATTGTGAATATCTAAATTCTCTATCATCGCAAATTACATTTTATTTAGTTTGAACCGTGCTATGGCAGGGAATCCGCCTCTAGTTTTCACATCAACTTCTTATTTTTGGTTGGTTTCATTATTCAGCGCATCAGCGCTCTCTCTTCCTGTCTTTCTCTTGGTCTTCTCTCTATTTAAAGGTTTAAATTGTGTTCAAACGTTTCAGATTTTATTCAGCGTTAACAACGTCATCGACACATACCTCACAACTGTGCCGAAAAAACGCACAAATTTCATCATCACCTTCTATTTTTAGCCTGACGCTTCTGAGAGTCTCCGGGAACAGAATCTCTCGTTCCTGTGGTGATGAAGAAACATCCCGCTGTTTAAACTCTCGTCTGTCTCTGCTCGGGCTTTAATCACCACTCGTTTTGGGATCGTTCTCTCGTTATGCTTCAGTTCGGCTCGAGTGTGATTGAGATTTAGTTAGTGTTCCTCTTTGTATCTGTCTGCATTCTTCTGTCCTATTTTAAACTTTAGTTTCAATTTAGTGTGCTTTATTTAAAGTACTAATAAAGTAATATTAATTAACTTATATCAAATTATCATCATCTAGCTTCAGATGTCTTTTGTGTGGTTTTGACTGCTGGAATGATCACAGACCACAGTTTTGCTAAAAATTGATTAGTTGAGTAACAGCAATTAATCAATCAGCATTTAATCACTCTCAAACACCCCACAACTAACTGTCTTCAATTTAGTGTGCTTTATTTAAAGTACTAATAAAGTAATATTAATTAACTTATATCAAATTATCATCATCTAGCTTCAGATGTCTTTTGTGTGGTTTTGACTGCTGGAATGATCACAGACCATAGTTTTGCTAAAAATTTATTAGTTGAGTAACAGCAATTAATCAATCAGCATTTAATCACTCTCAAAAACCCCACAACTAACTGTAAAGTTAGCATTTGCTTTCTCTCTTTATCTTTCTCTCTCTTTTCCTTCCATCTTCCTATAGTTCAGTGTTGAATCCTGTAGTGTAATTGTTCTCTCTCATGGCTCTAGTAGTTAGTAGGTACTGCGTCTGCTAACGTTAACGTCTCTGAACATCTTTCTGACTGCTCAGCTGATTCTAACCCTGTTTTTCTGTCCTCTAACAGTCTGTTTCTAACCTTCTCTTAAACCCACCTCGTGTGTGTGTGTTGTGCGTGTGTGTGCATGTGTGTGTGCGTGCGTGTGTGTGTGTGTATGCGTGCGTGCGTGTGTGTGCGTGCGTGTGCGTGCGTGTGGGCGTGCGTGTGTGTGTGTGTGTGTGTGGATGTTTGTGATGTGTGTGTGTGATGTGATGTGCGTGTGTGTGCGTGTGCCCATCTTTCCTCCTCTCTGGCTCAGACTCTGAGCTCTGTGCAGCAGTTGGTGGACATTGAGCCATCGACGGTCAGTGTGATGAGAATGACTCTGGCACAGGTACCACACTGTCTGTTGGACTTGATTTCCCATCATGCATCAGTCTCGTGCAGCCATCATCAACCCATCGTTGTTGTTGTTTGCATGCTGAGATCAGCCTGTGCACAAATTTAAAGGGAAATTTTCATCATGGAATTGAAGTCTTTCGTTGTTCCTTTTTAAAAATGAAGTGTGTAATTATTGCACCACTAGCAGCACCAATCCAAATTACAGTCTATGAATTTGATTGACTCGACTGGGTGTGAAAGCAGCATTGGCACAACCAGTGGTTTAACTGTATGATGGAACTGTCTGTTTGTCTGACCAATGGGTGCCACTAGTGGTGCAGAATATATATATATTTACTGTAAATAGATAGATAGATAGATAGTACTTTTATTATTATTATATATTTATATTTTGTCAAGTCAGTTTTATTTGTTTAATGTTTTTTGGCAATACACAGTTTCAAAGCAGCTTTACAGAAATGCATGATGTTAATGTGTTAAAGGGGTCATATGATGCGATTTCAAGTTTTCCTTTCTCTTTGGAGTGTTACAAGCTGATTGTGCTTGCTAGTAACTTTGACTAAAATATGGTGGAATTCAGGGGGAAAATTCCACAAAAGAAGTGGCTTTTACACTATAACGCTGTAGCTTGCTTGTCGAATCCTTATGGTGTCTGCTGTTGAAAGACTCTGACACATCTAACACTCAAAGAGACAGTTGCTGGGATTGATCAACAGTGCAAACATACACACACAGACACAATATTTTCCATTATGCAGAAAGCGTCAAAGTCGCATGCATTCCATCACGCTCTCCCAGAAAGCATGTCTCAGAGTTTGAAGCAGAGACACATGGGATTGATTAGGCCTTCGTGAGCAATTCTGATCCAGATGGAGACCCTGCAGACTGTCATGTGTTTCCCAGCGGACTCGGGCAACACATACGCCACATCTGCTTAAGGTCACGCTGAGAGGAAAAACAGGAAGACGTAAAAAAGAGAGCGATGGGTTTTTGTGCCTTTCGAGAAACTCTTGTCAGCCATGACTAGTGTTGACATCAGATAGATGTGGCAATATTGAGTGAAGACGCTTGTGTTAAAGCGCTCTGATTGAGTTTGTATTGATCAGTGCTGTCAGAATCAAATATTCACACACGCAAGGATGCGACGTCTGCAAAACTGTCAGATCAGCATACGCCAGTCATGTCTCAGGATACTGTCATTTGCATGTGTTGTTCTTTTAGAATTGGACAGAATATGGTGACTATTTCTTGTTGAAAGATGATTCTGGGACAGGTCAGATTAAAGGGCTTTTCCGTTTGAGTTTGGTCAAATTTTTTAAATGTTTTTGATAGAAGACTCTTATCCTCACCAAGGCTGCATTTATTTGATTAAAAACTGTGAAATCAGTAAAAAAAAATGTGAAATAGTATTACAATTTGAATATATTTTAAAATGTAATTTATTCCTGTGATCAAAGCTGAATTTTCAGCATCATTACTGCAGTCTTCAGTGTCACATGAACTTCAGAAATCATTCTAATATGCTGATTTGCTGCTCAAGAAAGATTTCTGATTATTATTATGATGTTGAAAACAGTTAAATATTTTTGTGGAAACTGTGATTTTCAGGATACTTCAAGTTCAAAAGAACAGTGTTTATTTGAAATAGAAATTTTGTAACATTTATAAATGTCTTTATTATCACTTTTGATCATTTTAATGCATCCTTGTTGAATAAAAGTGTTAATTTCTTTAAATGGTGAAATGTTCTCAGCACTGTTCTGGATCTGTGCTTTTGTGTTTTTAATTGTGAATGTAACGAGTTAGTGGTCTGATCTCAGACCTGTGATTCCGGCAGGTGTGTGTTGCTGTGGTAACCAGTTCTGTGTGTGTCTGTGTGTGTGTGTGTGTGTGTGTGTGTGTGTGTGTTTCAGAGTCGACAGCTGGAATCGGAGACGGGAACCACCGAAGAACACAGTCTCAACAAAGAGGCGAGGAAATGGGCAACACGTGTGGCCCGCGAACACAAAAACATCATCCATTACAAACGGGTGAGAGGCGCTGGATGTCATACAAACATCAGCAACACACACACTTAAACATCTTCTGTAAGTGGATGAATCTTGTGAAAAATCTTACACATTCAGGTGAGACACAAATGACTGAGACAGAAGCTTACTGTTTCACAAGAGGTTTAATCTTATGATCATGTTCGTGTCACATGAATCTACAAAACTAAAAGACAAAAAAAAGAAATTAACTCTAAATCTGGTCATTTTACATTTGAGAGTTTGTCTAGTTTACTTATTTACTTTTGTAATTTGCGTTATTCTCAGTGGTGATTGTAGTTAGATTTTATTTACTGGATAGACAGTATTTTTATCTACAATAAAACATTGCAGTAAAGTATATTGCAGTGTTATTTGTATTGCTATATTATTTTATTTTCATGACAATTCGGTGAGATCCAGCCCCAAATTCTGGACATTTTACATTTGAGGATTTGCTACAAATTCTGTTGACATGAAAATTAATAATTTAATTACAAATGACTAAGACATAACTTACTGTTTCACAGGAGGTTTAAACCAACGATCATGTCCAGGTCATCTAAATCCACAAAATTTTTTAAAAAAGAAGAAGAAAAATAAATAATTAACTGTTTTTACTGTTTTAACCGTTTTATTTTATTTTATTAAAAAAATAATAATAATTTCATGAAAATTCAGTGAGTTCCAACCCCAAATTCTGGACATTTTACAGTTGAGGTTATTTATATATACATATTATTTATTTGTTTGTTTGTAATTCACATTATTCTCAGTTGTGATTGTTATTAGGTTTTAATTACTGTACAGTAAAATTACAGTATTTTATCTAAAACATATTGCAGTATAATATTAGACAGTATTATTTGTATTGCAATATTGTGTATTTAATAATCATAAAATTATTCATTAATAATCATTGTTATTTAATTTTATGACAATTCAGTGAGTACCAGCCCCAAATGCTGGACAATTTTACATTTGTAAATTGTAATTTCTTTCTATTCTTATTCCTTTCTTGTTGATCCCGAGGTAAAAATATGACCTCATAGTTTCTGAAAAGGTTTTGTGATATTCAGGGGAAAGTCTGGTCATAATTCAGGAATGTGAATCACTCGGTTAAACGTTGTGCGTGTGTCCTGTGTGATTGTTAGATTAGTAGCAGGAAATGTGGTCTGATGCTGTTTTTTTTCGTAGGTTAGTTGCTCGATGAGCTAATTGAATTGAGCTGATTAACGGTAATTTGTTTTTATGGCAGGCTCTAGAGGAATGCGAGACGCTCGGGACTCTGCCCACGGAACAGAGCCGGAATGAGCTGGAATTCCGAATAGAGGAGGCTAAGGAGAGCATCCGCAAAGCAGAGGTGACGTAATGACGCTCACCATGTTATTCTGAGGAACACAAAAGGAGAAGTTTAGCAGGATGTTCACGCTGCTTTTTGCTCTGCAGTAAAAGAGTGGACTGGAGAGGAGTTTTAGCTTTTAGTTTTGTCTTTTTCTGGCACAAAGCTCTCATATCACTTGAGAAGACTTAGAATATAGTGCAAAAAATTTCACTCAGAAATTGCTAGTAAATTAATTACAACAAAACGGCAAGTAAATTGAATTCAACATAAATCTTAAAGTAGTGTTATCTTGTAAATACTTCATAATCTTTGTTTTATTTACATCTTTGAAAAATCATTAGTCTAGATTACCATTTTTAGAGCTTGATGGTGTCCATCTCTATTTACTTGTACTGCAAACGTGTACGTTTGAACAGAATAGAATAGTTTTGTATAGTGCGTTTATTAGAGTAGCATTTCATTTGTTTTTCTGAGAGACAAAACAAGGCAGAAGTACTTCGTAATAATGTCTCTGTTTTTCTGTAATGAATGCATTTCCCTTTCCAAACGGAGGTGAATTTTCTCTCTCTCTCTCTCGCTATCGATCTGTTCAGAGACAGGCTGTCAGTCTCTTTGTCTGATCGATGTGTCTTCTCTAAGATGTCCTGCACGTCTTTACCCGTGAATCCAGCAGTCGAGGCGCCCTCTGCTGGCCCTGCCTCTGACCTCTGTTATATAGGATATATTAATGGAATAGTCCATCCAAAAATGACAATTGTGTCATCGTTGAATCACCCTCATGTGGCCCCAAGCCCATATGACTTCATTATTCCTTGAAGAATAAATTTGGTGGATATTCTGAATGGCTCTTTCATGCACTGGCAGGACACAATGACTAAGAAATAAATTAACCATAAAAATGGGCAGTATTCTAAGTTTTGGGAGATCATATAATTTTTTTTTTTTTTTACATTTTTTAAGTTTTTCATTTAATATCAATATTTTATTTTCAATGATGAAAGCAATTTTAATAGTTGTAGTTATCAATAACAATACTGGACTGAACTGAACTACACTGGACAACTAGTTATTAACTGTTGAATACTACAGTAAATGTAAGTTGTTTTATGAACAGGACAATCTAGCAATCTTTTAATTAGATTTTTTATTTTCAGTTTTCATTTTAATTTAATTGTTATTAATTTTGTTACTGTTGCTTTTGTCATTTTTATTAGTTTTTGTTTTTATATTTCTATTTAGCTTTATTTTATTTTTATTCCCGTTTTAGTTTTGGTAATTTTAGGAATTAAACTTATTTCTATCTACCTGTCTTTATTTTAAATTAGTTTATTTTATTTTCAGTTGTCATTTGAATTTTTTTTTTTATTATTAGTTTGTTTTTTTCTTTTTAGTATTTATTTTTATTTCAGTTTTAGTAATTTACTATTTCAACGTAAACATTTATTATAGCATTAAATACATTTATTTCTATTATTTAGTTATTTAGTTGTTTTTTTTTTATTAAGTTTTTCATCAAGTACTTATATTTTATTTCTGCTCTTTTTCAATTAATGAAAACAATTTTTAATAGTTTAAGTTAATATTCATACAATGACCAAGAGATGTCAAACTCAAAAACAGACAATAAATGAACCATAAAAGTGTGGTATAAGTCTTCGTAAATCATACAGTAGCTTGAAATTTAATGTTCTATTCCCTGAAAATGATGCTCTCCAACATTGTTCTCATTCTTAAGCACGCATGCATTCAAACTGGCCATTTTGTCTGGTCTGTCATCACACAAATTGGTTCTTGCATGTCTTGTAACTGATAAAATCCCACCAAATCTGAATATGCATAAGTGCAAATTCCTCATTAGAAAGTCATATGGGTTTGGAACAATATGAGAGTGAGCAAATGATGACAGAGTTGACATTTTTAGATGAGACCAATTCATGACAATAAGTATGAGTATTTAACAGAGAATTTAATAGACTAAAACACCATCTTTGCTTTGCCCCTTGAATGCTTGAAGCCAAATTATAGTTCTCCATTAGTTCTTACAGACCGTTAGATATTTAATAACCCCATTAAGAACTAATGGACAGCCAGCAAAAACACAACAAACAGAATAAGGAATGAAACACAAAGTTTGGAAATGTTAAGCTGTTTTCGGGACCAGGCAATGTGCCAGAGGAATCTGTGTTTACTCATCAACAAATATTAAAAGTATAATTGCGCTTTAATTATTTCCTTTGAAATTTCTCGTCCCCTCAGAATTACAGTACACAGAAATGAACGACTGAGGGAGTCATGCGTAAGGTTTCCACACTGAAACCGCTTTTGAAAGCTGTTTGTTGTCTAAATTGAAACTGATGAGTCTTCAGAAAGTTAATTTGCACCGTTGCCTGATCATGAGAAATGCTGAAGCTGGTGGCCAGCTGTAGGATCCTCAGAGATCAGACGCTTCACCTGTCTAATGAGCACAACTACCCCAGACATTATTGAGCATCAAGGACGGGACGGGACGAGACACTCGTCTAGCTTTAAGATTTTATGTGTTTTTGTCTTCTTTTTTTTTTATTAGTGTTTTTATGTTTCTGCTTAGTTTTATTTTTATTGTATTTATTTTTTAGTTTTAGTCATTTAAGTATTTCAACTTATTTAATTCAGTTTATTGCCAAGGCATAATTTCAATTTTTATTTTTTTTATTTTTTTATTTTTACATTTTATTTGTTGCTTGAAAACTATAGTATATGTAAGCTTGTTGTATAAACAGAACAATCTATCTAATAAATTAGCTTTTTTATTTTTAGTTTTCATTGTAATTTTTTTTTTTTCTTTTTATAATTTTGTGCTTTTGTCATTTTTATTAGGTTTTTTTAATATTTCTATTTAACTTTTGTTTATTTTTATTTAGTTTTAATTTTTGTCATCAGATTTCAACTTAAACTTATTTGTTTCATTTAGTTGCCTATGCAATATTTTAATTTTCATTCTTCATGGTTTACATGTTTAAACCATTTTCAATTACCAAAAACTTTTATCATTTTAATTTCAGTTGCTTTACTAGAGTACATGTAAGCTGTTGTATGAACAGAACAGATCTTTTTTCAAAGCTTTTGTTTATTTTATTTTTTTATTTTATTTTTTGCTTTAATTGTAATATTAGTTTAAGTTTTCTTCATTTTATTATGTACTTTTGTCATTTTTATTAGTTTTTTTTAAATATTTCTATTTAACTTTATTTTTATTTCAGTTTTAGTAATTATATTACTTAAACGAATTAATTTCTTAAACTTAATTGTATGAACAGGACTATGTTCCTTTGTGTTTTTCAGACGATAAAGCTGAAAGCAGAAGTGCGTCTGGACCTCCTGCGGCAGGTGGGTGTTTCTGTGGACACATGGTTGAAGAGCGCCATGAACCAGGTGATGGAAGAGCTGGAGAACGAGCGCTGGGCGTCGCTGCCCACCCTCACCTCCCACGACCTCTCTCTCTCAGTGAGCACCCTCTTTATTAAAAATCAAAGTCCATGTCAAAGATACATGCAGATTTTCTCACCTGCACTTTCAGTTTCCAGTTGAAAGTTTAGAGTCAATAAGAGTCATGCCAACCTCCCCGATCTGTGGCCGGTTGCATAAACTGCTTAGACTAGTCTTAAAAGTTAGTCATCTAATTTTATTCTGAAAGACTGCTAATAACAGTTTTTTTTAATCAGTTACATAAAAACATAGATTGGTCTAATTTGAATCAGAAAAGTAAGACCGGTTACCACTTGATTAACTGCTATTTAGTCAATCTAGTTCTTAAGACACAGTCTTAACATATTATGTTTATGCAATTGGCCCCTGCTCCTTCCTGATTCTGTCAGCACCATTGTATTCAGACCAGTCTAAACAAACAGTTCGGCACATATGCCACGGCAGAGAGAAATATAGTTGATCACTGCAGCCAAACGCCACCTACATTCCTCTACACATCTGAGACCAATCCCTTTGAGATGCTAGAAGATGTGACAGTGAGCTATGAGTTTTGGGGTGAATAATGCCATTTATTATATTTGTCATGTATTATGTTTAAAAATTATGGATATTTTATCATTATTATTATATTAAACAAAATATAAATAATTTTAACAAGGTAAAACAGACCGACTCATACACTTCACTGGGGCTTAGGATCGACCCGAAAAGTGTGGCGACCAGTGCTGTTGGTTGTTAACTGAAACTAAAACTAGTACAAATCTTTTTTGTTTTTAGAAATAAAGGTGGAATAAAATAAAATATAAATATTAGATGAAAAACTTTGATTGATTGTCTACTAAACTATGTTGAAGTCAGTTAAAATGGTTGTTACACCCCTGCATTTTACTGCATCATTCTCTTGCTTCTAAAGGTTGTGTCTGGGAAACTGCAAAAATATCAGCAGATTTCTGGAAAAATATTAACCTGCACAGTTGACCTTGCATTGCACAATAATCTGTTAACCTCTCTCTTTCTCTCAGGCCTCTCAGCCCGATGAACTAACCATTGATGAGCATGAGATGTTGGAGGTTATAGAAGATGGAGACATGGAGGACTGGGTGAAGGTAAACCAATCAAACCAGTTCAACACAACCTGCTGAAGTTTCTTTCAATCAGACTGCAATTCAGTAAGAGGTACAGAAGAAAAGGATTTTTGTGTCTTGCATCTCAAGATGAGATTTACACAGAATTCCAATTCAATTCTGGTTATTCCCAAAGCTCTACACAGAAACTTTTTGAATGACACTTGTTTGAATTCTTTGGAAAACTGTGGAACGTTCTGCTGAATTTTTAATGGTTGCAGATTCCATGTGAGCCTGTTTATGAGTTTGATTAGTAATTTTTTTGTTTATTATTATTATTTTATGAATAATTATTATTCTTTTAGTTCTGTTTAAAGTTGCAGTGAAATAAAAGTAGCTACATATTTTTGTTCGTGTTGTGACTTATATCACAGTGTAACAGATTATAGACCGAGAAAAAACGTAGGACGGGATCTTGGTTCTATGTGACGTTGCAGATTGGATTTTGAGATGTGAGCGTTGCTCTCAGAAATAAGTCCAGCATACATCGCCAGAGAGAAGACTGGCGCTTTCACTGGAAGATCCAGTAGATCCATGACATTTTGATTTTAAAATTGCAAGGTCAAAAAAAAAGTATGCATGGATGAATCGTTCACAATATGATCTGTAACATTCATTTAAAAAAAATATGTAGAATTAATCTTCATTTCATGCATACTTTAACACATTTTACCAGTCATTTCAGAGATCTTTTACTTTGCAGAAAAGGATATTAAAGTCTGTAGATTCCATTTGAATTCCAGTGTTGTTCCGAAAGTTCCATTCGCAAACATGTTGAATGCCGGTTGTTTGAATTCTGTGGAACTTTCTGCAGAGTGGGTCTTTGTCCTTGCATGTTTGGTTATTAAATATTTTGGTGATTATGATCAATTGACTATTTTTTTTATTTTTTATTTTATTTATTTATTTTTTTTTTTTATCATTTGATTATTCTTAGCAGTCGATTCTGATCTATTCTGATTCTTAGCACTGTTTAACCCATTCATCATGTTTAGATCAGTTGCTGAGTTTTTTCTCCCAGAGTCAATGAAGAAAATGGGATTCAAGTCTGCAGATTGTGTTTGGGTGACTGCTGCTGAATGTTGTCATGGTTGGTTCCAGGCGCGGAATAAGTCCGGTCAGGTGGGCTACGTCCCAGAGAAGTACCTGCAGTTCCCCACGTCCAACAGCGTACTGAGCATGCTCCAGTCCCTTGCTGCTCTGGACGCACGCTCACACTCCTCCAGCAACTCCACTGAGCCTGAGCTGGCATCAGGCAGCTTCAACGGAGACAGCAGCAGTGAGTCACACACACACACACACACGCACGCAGATGGTTTGTGTGAGTGATGACATGAGTCGCAACGCATCTAAATGTTCATTCTGACCTTTTTTCATGAAAATGTGTCATGTTGTTTTGTTTTTGCAAACATGGAGAACTTTAAAATATCAGGGAATCAGACTAGAAATAAATAAGGTCTAAAAAAATAATTCGACATTTCTGAAAGAAACCATTTTATTCAGCATGGATGCATTAAATTGATCAAAAGTAACAGCAAAGGCATTTGTAATGTTACAAAAGATTTAAATTTCAAACAAATGCTGCTCTTTAAGTTTCTATTCATCAAAGAATCTTGAAGAAAAAAAATGCATCACTGTTTCCACAAAAACATGAAGCAGCACAACTGTTTTCAACATTGATAATAATCAGAAATGTTTCTTGAGCAGCAAATCAGCATATTAGAATGATTTCTGAAGATCATGTGACACTGAAGACTGGAGTAATCAGCTTTGATCACAGCAATAAATTACATTTCGAAATATTTTTATATAGTAAACATTTTACATGTAGCCTTGCTGAGCATAAGAGACTTATTTTAATTAAATCTTACAGACCCCAAACTTTTTCGCAGACAAAAACTCTGGTTTACTAATATACTATACTATACTAATTCTGGTTTGGTTGAGGAGAGAACCAAACCAGAGAACCAAACCCCCCCCCCAGCGCTATATAAATGCATCATTCATTCATTCATTCATAAAACACTTTTGAAAGCTGCAAGTTGTGAAAATGACTTGATCTCAGACCTTTAAACAGTGCGTGCCATTGTAAAGACTGCAAGTCTATCCCTCACAGCCTCGCTTTTACCTGCATTAAATCCAGTATGCCGTCTAACCTGACCGAGCTGTATTAATAACCTCTTTCTTTTCTTCCTTCGTCTCTCCCAGTGAGTTTTGTCAAGGCCATGTATGACTACGAGGGTCAGACGGATGACGAGCTGTCATTCCCTGAGGGAGCCATCATCCGCATCCTCAACAAGGACAACCAGGAGGACGACGGCTTCTGGGAGGGCGAGTTTAACGGTCGAGTGGGCGTCTTTCCGTCCGTGCTGGTGGAGGACCTGACCGCCTCAGAGAACGGAGACTCTCACTGGGGAACAGACACACAGGTAAGACAAACAGAACTCGGTCTGAGTCTCTAAGTCCACACTTACTGTGAGTGGGTTTGATTTCGGAGGCCTGGCTGCTTCTTCCTGTAATCAACATTATACGGCCTCATCAAAAACAGGGGAAAAAAATGGAGCTAATCATGTAAATACAGTCATAATAAAACTGTACTTTAATGTGCACTTTAATCACACGATTCTCTAAAACACTAATTCTGGTTTTTCGTATAATGATGCTAAATTATGTTGCTTGTTATGCCTAAAATAATAATAAAGTTCTTTGACAATTAAATGCCTCAATATGATTGAGTTTTCAATAATTTAATAAAACACAGTAAACTACTGTTTATATGTTTGAGGTTGGTAGGATGTTTTAATGTTTTTGGAAAGAAGGCTTTTATTCTCACCCAGACTGTATTTATTTTATTAAAAATGCAATAAAAACAGTAATATTGTGAAATATTATTACAATTTAAAATAACAGTTTTCTGAATAAATTTAAAATGTAATTTATTTCTGTGATCAAAGCTGTATTTTCAGCATCATTACTTCTTCAGTGTTTATGTTGCTTGTTATGCCTAAAATAATAATAAAGTTCTTTGACAATTAAATGCCTCAATATGATTGAGTTTTCAATAATTTAATAAAACACAGTAAACTACTGTTTATATGTTTGAGGTTGGTAGGATGTTTTAATGTTTTTGGAAAGAAGGCTTTTATTCTCACCCAGACTGTATTTATTTTATTAAAAATGCAATAAAAACAGTAATATTGTGAAATATTATTACAATTTAAAATAACAGTTTTCTGAATAAATTTAAAATGTAATTTATTCCTGTGATCAAAGCTGAATTTTCAGCATCATTACTCCAGTCTTCAGTGTCACATGATCTTCAGAAATCATTTTAATATGCTGCTTTTACTGCTCGAGAAACATTATTAATGTTGAAAACAGTTTAAACTAAGTTGAAAACCATTATACATTATTTATTCCTCAGGATACTTAGATGAATAGAAAGTTCAAAAGAACAGCATTTATTTGATTTAGAACTATTTTGTAACATTTTAAATGTCTTTACTGTCACTTTTGATCAATTTAATGCGTTCTTGCTGAATAAAAATATTCATTTCTTTCACTGACCCCAAATTTTTGAACGCTAGTGTTTGTTAACATTATCTGACATGAAGA